ATATGCTATGTAGTGACACCAGCCTCTCCTCAAGCTCAGAAACTCTGAGGTCAAGCTCGAGCAGCCAAAGGCACTTCATACACACGTGTCTGTCCAGGGCACACAAAGCATCCTGGAGTTTCCACATGACACACATTGTGCATGCAACCGGCCTCAGCTGCCCTGCCATATTCCCAGACATGTTTTCTATTATTTTAACATAACTATTATATATTTTATAATTATGCACCTCTTTCCCCTCTGTACTGAATTCCCACTTTCACCAAATTCCTTAACAGGATTCTCACTCTGTTCCACCTCACTCAGTTCCCTCCTCATGCTGCTGGGCTCTCTGCTCAGCTTATAGTCTAATGCAGTGCTGGAGGTGTGCTGCAATTGTTCGAGACTCCATCCTTCAGATGAAACATTAACCGAGATTCTGTCTACCTTTTAAGATGTTAAAGATTTCATGGCACTATTCGAAAAGTGAAAGGAGTTTCTCCCGGTATTCTGAGCAACAATCCCACAAATAAAATTGGTCACTTACTCCATGGCTGTTTGTGGATCATTGCTGTGTGCAAAATTGGCGAATGCATTCACCACAAAACATGCAGTCAATGTACTTTACAATATATTCTATGAAGTGCTTTGAGACATCTCAAAGACATGATAAGGCATAATACCAAGTGCAAAGATTATTATATCTTGTAAAGCATTTTGGGATATCCTCCTGACATGGAAGGCTCTATAGCAAATACAAAGATTATTATTATTGTTGTTGTATAGGTGTGATTCATTTTTGTTGAGGATCTTAAACTTTAAGACAAAATAGTCTTGTAGATGGATTAGATCAATATTGACGCTTCAGGACATTTTCAAGCAGAATTCAGGTCCAAACCAGTATTATTTTGATGTTGGCATTACATGGCTACTTTAAATGGCCCAGCAGAAGATACCTTTTAGCAATTTGGAAATCAGTAGACAGTGGAGCAGGATAGCCAGGATATGCAAGTTTTGTGAATTTTTTTTTGTTACCTTGGCACTTCTCATGGACAGTCCTGTTGATTTTCTATCCTTGTCTCTCTCACCATCTCATTATCTCCCTCTGTTCACATCCAGGAAACTCATTAAAAGCTAACACATAATGTCCTAATGAAATTCTCGCTGATCAGAATTACTATTCTGCTAAAAACTTGAGAGAAAATGATAAAAGAACATTGGTGACCCGTGAAAACTACATAAACTTCACAAATTTCCTTGCAGATTTTAACAAGGTTTCTCTATTAAAAGCGGAAGCATATATCCGTGTTATATGATCTTTCAAATTCAGAATGGTTTTCTAAACAAAATTCCTCCTTTAATATTAATTTATCAATTTTTAGAAAGAATTCTGGCTTGCAAAAATGTTGAGTGTAATTGTGCTGATAGGCACAATCTAGGATTGGGTGGCTTATTATTTTCTTTGGCTTCGCAAATGTAGGTAAGGTCCAAGTGCATTGTATCTACAGTCCTGTATGGATAACACATCTAACTCTGCCTAAAACAGAAGTGTGACGATTACTTTAAGCTGGATCTGAGTCACATGATCATCTGCAACAAAGGACATTGTTTAAGACTGAGATAGATAGACTTCTTATTGTAAAAGGGATTAAGGGATATGGGGATAACATAATAATAATAATAATCCTTGCATTTGATATAGCGCTTTTTACATCTTCTAGACGTCTCAAGGTGCTTCACAGAATATACTGTAAAGTGAATTGACTGTATATTTGTGGGCGAACGCGGCAGCCAATTGCGCACAGCAATGTCCCATAAACAGTCGTAGATTGAAAATGACCAATTTATTATTGTTTTGTTTTGGAGGGATTATTATTAGGTGTGTGGAGTAAGGAAACTTGCCCAAGGTTTCGCCCTGCCTGGAATTGAACTCAGGTCTCTCACTTGCAAAGCGAGTGCTCTAACCACTGAGCTACAGGACTCCAAGGCAGGGTTAGGTTATTAGCTGGAGTTAGATTAGAAGATCAGCCATGATTGAATGTTGGGGCAGCTCGAAGGGCCGAATGGCCTACTCCTGCTCCTACATGTTATGTTATGTTTAGGTGTCAGGTTGGCTCAGTTGAGCTGGGGAATGTTGCATTCATTGTCGGAATAAGATGTTAAACCAAGATCCTATTTGCCTATTCAGATGGACCTTCAAGATCCCACGATGCTAATTGAAAAAAGAAGAGTTTCTCCTAGTGCTCTGACCAACAAACAACAACATCAAGATTACATTTGTACAGTGCCTTTCACGTCGAGAGGTCGTCCCAAGGTGCTGGACAGTGTACAGCATTTCAGACCCGAGCTGGGGTCAGGGAGGGAGAAGGGAGGGGAGGGAAAGGGGATAACCGATGGCATGGTCGAAGAGGAGGGTTTTAAAGCGGGACTTGAAGGAGGCTAAGGAGGAGATGAGGCAGAGTGATTGGGGGATGGAATTCCAGAGGTTGGGGGCAGAGTGGCTGAAGGCTCTCCCACCAATGGTGGGGCGCGTGGGTCGGGGGACGTGGAGCAGGCCAGAGCTGGCTGAGCGGAAGGAATGGGCGGGTTGGTAGGGGGTTAGGAGGTTGCAGAGGTAGGGTGGGGCGAACCCATGGAGGGCTTTGTATGTGAGGATCAAGATCTTGAACTGGATCCTCTGTAGGATAGGGAGCCATACCCTGTAATAAAAGGGTTATTACCTCTTCGCTGTGTGTAGCTGCATGTGGGCTGAGAAATAAAGTCACTACACTTTACAGCAATTATCTGTGAAGCCCTTTGAAGTATTTCAATATTATAAATACTAAATCAGATGCAAGAATTATTATCCTTATTATTAAACACAGGCAATTTGATAAGTAACTCATTTTGAAGCAGAACTCTATTGCAAAACTAAACTGCTTCATAACTATGGAGCTAGGATTGCCACCTTTTGTCAGGACCAATACTAGACACTTGGCAGATGTTGGTTTCTTTTAATGCCTTACTTCAGAGAGGCTGAGAGAGGTCTTGTAACATGTGGCAATCCCTTTGGATTTCAGTTGATCACAAACCACATGGGATGCCAGGGAGCTGAGAGGAGCCTCATTATCTCAAGGATAAAGACATGAGGCCAACAAGATCAACAATGGTTTAGAGTTGGACTTTAGTTATTAAAAATGAACTTCAGACAATCTGCTCAAAAAAGCCAAACTATTCAAGCCAAGTTTAGACAGGTAGCAACCCCAATCATAACTGCCTAAGCCTCTCTGTAGATTTGATCTCAACATCACCATCCTATTCAATACCTCTTCCTCTCAAAGAACAAGTTTAATATATAACAGAATACATATTATTTCTCTTAATGCCACTTCCCCATAAATTTTGGAAACATACATTTTCTAAAATGAAAATTGAAACTTATTTAGATCCTGGTAATTTCCACCGATAAATGAAATAAATGGTTTACTTTATCTATTTTCTCCTTCTGCTTAAAGCATTAATTCTGGCTGGTGGAGACGTCTCTACAGTTATCATCAGCTCTGTGGTTCTGTGCTTAAGTGTCTAATCAATGTGGGAACCTGGACAGTGAGTTTTTGGCAAGCTAGATGGCCACGAGGGGGCACCAACATAGCTATATCTCCTCCTTCCTCACTCTATAATAATAATAATTCTTGATTTGATATAGCGCTTTAACACGTCTTCGAGACGTCTCAAATCGTTTCACAGGATACAGTATAAAGTGGATTGTCTGTATATTTTGTGGGCGAAACGCAGGAGTCAATTGCGCACGGCAGTGTCCCACAAACAGTCAAGGATTGAGTGACCAAATTATTATTTTTATTTATTTTTGATAGGAAACTGAATGGGACTTGGGTGAGAAAAAACGTACCGTCCACCCCAAATCCCTCTCTCTCACCCCCTTTCCTGGCTCGGGCATGCAGGCAAGTCACAAGACAGTTACAAGGGGTTGGTGATGAGTTGATGAGGCAAAGTCAAGGTCATAATGGGATGAGCATTGTGATACTAGAGTGAGCCAAGGTAGGAGATATGGTGTCTGTTTCCCCTCACTCACGCACTCACTCACTCACTCACTCACTTGGCTGAGCTGCTAACACTGAGACAGAGCTATCCTGGGTTTCAGAGATTTCCGTAGACTTGAGATGGAGTTTAGAGGATCTGTGACTAATGAGTTCAGTAAAGGAAAAGGTTACTGTTTTTTTTATTATTATTAATATTAATAATTATTATAATCCTCACATTTGATACAGCACCTCCACGTTGTGGAGAAGTCTCAAAGTGCTTCACAGAATACACTGTGAAGTGGAGAGACTGTGTTTTATGGGCAAAACGCGGCAGCCAATTGCACACTGCAGTGTCCCACAAACAGTCGTGGATTGATGGATCCCATTATTATAATTATTATTTTTGATGGGAGATGGGATTATTACTCTCAGAAAGTGATCCACCAATCGACTAACAAGCGGATTCCTACTTCCTGCTAGGTAAACAGAGGGATGTGTGCGGAGTAAGAAAACTTGCCTAAGGTTTCACCCTGTTCTGCCTGGGAATTGAACCTGGGTCCTCTCGCTTGCACTATAGGTCTTGAGACAGGACCTGAAGGAGGCGAGGGAGGGAACAAGGCAAAGGGATTGTGCGATGGAGTGTGGGGGTGGGGGCGCGGAGAGGCTGAAGGCCCGACCGCCAATAGTGGGGATGGCAGGGTGGGGGATATGGAGCAGGCTGGAGCCTGCTGAGTGGAGGGAGCAGACACACACACTCTCTCTTGCTCTCACACTACCTCTTGCTCTCACTCTCTCTCTCTCTGTTTCATACTCTCACTCTCACACATTCTCTCTCTCTCACACTCTCACACACACACTGTCTCTCGCTCTCACACTCTCTCTCACACAATCACACACTATTTCTGTTTCACAATCTCACACGCTCGCTCACCACACACTCTCACTCTCAGCCCCCTCTCTCACACACTCTCTCACACACACTTTTTCTCACACACACTCTCTATCTCTCTCTCTCTCACTCTCTCTCTGGCAGAGTACTACGAGGCGGAGACAATGACAAACACGTCACAGAAACACAAGAACTTTGTGGGGGAGCCGATGAAAGAGAAATCAGTGAAGGAATTGGCGGGGATTGGCATTGTGCTGGGGGGGAGACTCGAGGAGAAAGGTTTCCTGAAGGTCAGTCACTTCACCCGAGAAGGTTGAGGGCTGATCTGATTGAGGTGTTTAAAATGATAAAGGGATTCAATAGGGTAGCTACAGAGAAACTATAATAATAATAATCCTTGTATGTGATAGTGCGTTATCACGTCTTCGAGACATCTCAAAGTGCTTCACAGGATATACTGTAAAGTGCAGTGACTGTGTTTTGTCTTGTCTTTCTCATGCTCTCTCACACACTCTCTCGCTCTCTCTCACACTCTCTTATTCACACACACTCACTGTCTCTTTCGCTTTCTCTCACTCTCTGTCTCACTCACTAATATACTCTCTCACTCACAAACTCTCTCACTCTAACACACTCTCTGACTTACTCTCACAAACTCACTCTCTCACTCACACACTCATACTCTCTCTTTCACACTCTCACTATTTCTATCACACTTTCTCTTACTCTCACACTCTCACTCTCTTCCTCTCTGACACTCTCACTCTCTCAAATGCACTCACTGTCTCTCACTTTCTCTCACACACACTCTTTCTCTCTCACACACCCTCCCCTCTCTCACTCTCCCTCTCTCTCTCACAGGCAAAGGACGTACTGGGTCAGTTCTTGCTCCTCAAGCAAGACCGTGACAGTTTTAAGAATTGGCTGCATCAGGTCTGCTTTGCAAGGAACAAGCAGTCAGAGGATTGTTACCGCTGTCTGCGAGAGTGGTGTGACTCCTTCATATAGTCTGGCCCGACCTCTCCACCCGCCTCCCCCCACTCAAAAAGCAAGGGTCCCTCCCTTCAGATCTCCCTATTTTATCACCTCTTTGCAACAGATTTTACGCTGATGTAAGCAGATTTTTATTAAACGTTCATGAGGGGGAATAATAAGTGGCTTTCGCTCGCTCACTCACTATCTCTCCTCCTACATCCCTCCCTTCCTCCCTCCCTTATCTCTCTCCCCCCAAAAAAAAATAAAATCAAGGGGGGAGAGCAGGAAAAGAGGAGATTGTCTTTAAGCCTTGCATTTGATATACAGCGCCTTTCCTCAACGTTAATTAGAATGATAATAATCCTTGCATTTGATACAGCTCCTCATCACATCACATTGAGGCGTCTCAAAGCGCTTCACAGGATATACTGAAAAGTGTTGTGACTGTGTGTTTTGTGGGAGAAATGTGGCAGCCAATTGTGCACAGCAGTGTCCCACAAACAGTTGTGGATTGAGTGACTATCTTTTTTATTATTACCCCCAGAAAGTGATCCACTAATCGACTAACAAGCGGGTTCCTACTTACTGCTAGGTATACCAAGGCATTTGGAGTAATAATAATAATCCTTGCATTTGATACTGCGCCTTATCACTTCATTGAGATGTCTCAAAGTGCTTTACAGAACATACTGTAAAGTGAGTTTGTGTATTTTGTGAGCGAAACGCGGTAGCCAATTGCACACAGCAACGTCCCGCAAATAGTTGTGGATTGAGTGACCATGTTATTTTTTATTACCCCCGGAAAGCAATAAAAAATCCACCAATTGACTAACAAGAGTGTTCCTACTTCCTGCTAGGTAAACAGAGGCATGTGTGTGGAGTAGGGAAACTTGCCTAAGACCTGACCCGCCTGGGAATTAAACCCAAGTCCTTTCGCTTTTGAGACGAGTGCTCTAACTACATGGGTCTCCATCTTAAAGCGTTCTGCTGTAGGAAAACATAGGAGCCATTTGGCACACAGCAGGCACACAGACACTTGTCTTCAAAGCCCTTCATGCCTTGACGCCGCCCTACCTCTGCGATCTGCTTACTCCCCAACCCACTACCCGCTGCCTCCGCTTGACTGGCTCTGGCCTCCTGCTTGTCCCTCATGCCCTCGATTCCAGCAATGGTGCCCGCGCTTTCAGCCAGTATGTCCCAAAACTCTGTCACTCTCTCTCTCAATCCCTCTACCTTGCCTTTTCCTTTCCCTTCTTCAGGTCTTGCCTGAAGACCTTCCTCTTCGACTGTGCCTAAGGTCACCTCCCCCATCTCCCCAGCTCAGCTTCGTGCTCTGCCACTGTCAAGTGCTTAGGGACACTACCCTGCATGAGGGACGCTGTGTAAATGCAAGTGGTTGTGCAAAAGTGTTTGTGTCAGTGTTAGTGTTAAGTTTGGTAGTGAGGTCAAGGGTTGTAGTACGGGGGTGGGAGAGAAAATAGATCCCAGTAATAATAATCCTTGCATTTGATACAGCACCATATCACGTCAAGACGTCTCAAAGCACTTCACGAATACACTGTAAAATGTAGTGACTGTATATTTCGTGGGTGAAACGTGGCAGCTAATTGCGCACAGCAACTTCCCACAAACAGTCGTGGATTGATTGGGCGACCAAATTATTATTCTTTTTAGTGGAGGGATTATTATCCTCGGAAAAGCAATCCGCCAATCGACTAACAAGTGGGTTCCTACTTACTGCTCGGTAAACAGAGGCGTGTGTATGTGTGGAATAAGGAAACTTGCTGAAGGTTCCGCCCTGCCCCCCCTGGGAAATGAATCAAACCCAGGTTGCTTTATGAGATGAGCGCGCTAACCACTACGCTACGGGACTCTGCTAATAATAGTTCCTTATTTAATCCCAAGATTCCTGAAAGCAGGGAATCTCTCCCCATCTCTTCTCCTCCCCCACCACCACCACCACCACATACACATGAAGGAACACGATGCAAAAAAATCTCTAAAAAAAAATAACAGGCTGTGTCTGTCTCTCTGTCCGTCCATCACTCAGTCCGACTGGAACTATTCCAAAATGGCAGAGAACCACGTGGTATTAAGGCCCACACACCGGCTCCGCGATATACATAGTAGTAACCCTGTTCATCCCAGTTCTGTGCAAAGATATGCATTTCCCAAGCAGGGGGTCAATGGATAGTGATCAGATCTGGGAAAGATGGTTAATTTTATCCCTCTAGCTAAGGGGTGCAAAGGCTCATTGAAGCACACAAAGCTGCTGCTTCGGTTAACTCAGCACAGATCAAACCTGGGACGATTTGGACTTGTATGGCTTGGTTACACTCCAGGCAGTACCTTTTTCCAATGGAGCTATTTGAGGAGACAACCTGAATTTTTGTTGTTACTTTTGTTGTTTCCATTTTAAATCATGTAAGTGTGATTTCTGATGCACACATTCTGATTCAGTCTGCTTTGCTTTAAAAGCTTCCACAGGCTGTCCAAAAATTCATGATACCATTACAAAGTGTCTAATAAGTCTTAAAGAAATTATGATTTTTTTTAGATAATAGGGTAGTTATCACAACTGTCACCTTCCTACAGGGTCACCCTGTATGTCCTACAAGTGTTATCTGATTCAGAATGAGAAGCAGCATAAGGAAAAACTGCCTTTGGCACTTGTATCTCAAACAATTTGAGGGTAGATCATTTGACAGGTTTAAAGGACACATAGCTTCAGTTATGGCTCTCTTTTCCATGCTTAATATTTCAGATCATTGCTGAATCACAGATCTATTGGAGGTGCCTACCTCTCCTGGATTTTCCATTTCTACAACTGCTGTGGTCTGCTTATATCTTTGTTTTAGAAGGGTCTGAGTCAATTTTCTCTCAGGTCTGGTGTTATTAGCCACGTTTATATGTGGAAACTTCCTTTGCAGGTTCCTCAGATATTCCACATATAAAGTGTGAGACATTTCACTTTGGAAGAATTCTCTAAGCAGCTTTTTGACTTGATATTAAAAGCAGCTTGATGCTGTGATGGGGGGACAGTAGGGTGTTTTTTTTTGCAGGGTTGAGATCAGATGGGCCAAAGGGCCTTTTTCATCCATACCATTGTTCTGGATGATTGTGAACTTGTGAAAGGGCTTCACAAACATGGAGTGGATACCTTATCTTGGAGGGAGATGGAGGGGAGAGTTGGCTTAAGAGGTCGGCATTTAGGTGGGTTTTGAAGGAAAAGAGAAAAGGAGCGAGGTGGAGGGATTTTCGACAAAAGTTCCAGTGGGAGGACCAAAGTGGCTGAAAACATTTCATGGATGGTAGAGTAGAACAGTTCGGGGCTTAGAGTCGGGAGACCCTTGACCAAGGCATTGGAAAAGTTGAGGCTGGAAGTGACAAAGATGTTGGTGAGAGTTTTGACTACAGTGAAGGAGAGCGTGTGAAGGAGGCAAGTAATGTTATGGAGATGGAAGAAGCAGATATCAGGGTCAGAGCCTGGTTGAAAGCCTTGAAATCGTGAAGTACTAATTCCCACCTAGTCATAGCCTGAAACAACAATTTGTCTTAAAATTTAAGATTGGGCAAAATTTTAGAAAATTCTTAAGTTCAGTCATAATTTGACAGCCAGCTTTACAATAATAATCTTTGCATTTGATATTGTGCCTTTCATGTCAGGAGGACGCCTCAAAGTGTGTAAACAGAATATACTTGGGACATCGTCCCGACGTGAAAGGCGCGATACAAATGTAATTGTTTGTTATTGTTGTACTGTAAAGTGTAGTGACTGTGCACTATGTAGGCAAATGCAGCAGCCAATTTGTGCACAGCAATGTCCCACAAACAGCCATTAAGGGGATTGTTGGCCAGGACACACTCTCTTTTGTATATTGCCATGGGATCTTCAAAGTCCACTTAAACAAGCAGGTAGGGCCTTCTTTTTACGTCTTATCTGAAGAAGGTACCTTCAACAGTCAGTATTCCCCTTGCGCCACATTGGCTTGTCAGCCTAGAGTTCAAAGTCCAAATGTGAGGCATGAATCCACAATCTTCTGACTTAGAGGCAAGAGTGCTACAAAGTGAACCAGGCTGAAATCTGTTTTCCACAGTTTTTAAAGAGGTCCACACAGCTTTTCAATTAAGATTAATTTTAAGAACATTCCACAATTCTGCCTGATATAAAATTTTAAGAAAAAATGCTTACATGCTGAGAATAGTGGAATTTTGGCCTCAGAAGAGCCATTAAGTATTTGTGTCGGCTAGAGCACTCCCCTCGCAAGTGAGAAGATCTGGGTTCGATTGCAGGGCAGGGTGAAACCTTAGGCAAATTTTGTTACTCCACATGCCTCTGTTTACCTAGCAGTAAGGAGGAACCCAGTTGTTAGTCGATTGTTGGATCACTAACCGGGAGTAATAATTCCTAAAAAAAATAATAATCTGGTCACTCAATCCACACTGTTTGTAGGACACTGCTGTGTGCAATTGGCTGCCACATTTTGCCCACAAAATATACAGTCAATTCACTTTACAGTATATCCTGAGACATCTCAACGATGTGATAAAGCACTATATCAAATGCAAGAATTATTATATTGATAATACGTGCAAGTAATGCAACAATGAATTTTGGTATAGCATACACCAGTGATGTCTTTAAAAACAAATGTAAAACATTTCGCCAAACACTATTTCATGAAGATTGCCCTTCTTTAAAAATACACATCAATATAATAGCTCAATTTGGCATTGAAAGAGAGAGGTGAGAAAATGGTGGTTTTCATGTATGCCTCTAAGATGGAAATAAGAGTTGGCACAAAGTTTGTATGGACATAACAGGATATGAATATAAAAAAGCATAGCTTAGCTTTTTTGATAAGGATGTATCTAAGGGACTTTCAGATGATAGACTTTGGAGCAAGAGAACTTGCCAGTTTTGCAGATATACTGCCTATTATTATTATTATTATTATTATTATTATTATTATAATTCAGAAGATTTCACAAGGTTGATCAAACGTGGTGATCCATGGTGTCACCCCTGACAG